TCTGCCTCTAGATGAAATCTTTTCTGCACTGAGACATAAAGGGCTATGGTACTAGGAGCTCCTTGGAGCCCACCCCCGCCCCCACAAACGACCCCAAATAGTTTCAGCTGTAACAATTTACATTCCCACCAACAGTGTACATTCTCCACACCCTGTCCAGCATTTGTTGTTTGTGGACTTTTTAATGATGGCCCTGACTGGTGTGATACCTCATTGTAGTTTTGATTTGCATTATCTGATAATTAGTGATGTTAAACATCTTTTCATATGCCAATTGGCCAGCTGTATGTCATCTTTGGAGAAATGAGTATTTAGGTCTTCCAGTTTTTGATAGGGTTGTTTAGGGTTTTTTGTCATTAAGTTGTAAGAGCTATTTGTATATTTGGAAAGTAAGCCTTTGTCAGTAGCATCATTTGCAAATATTTTCTCCCAGTACGTAGATTTCATTTCCATTTTGTTTATATCAACTATACCTCAATTTTAAAAAACAAAACAAACAGTTTGGAGATGGAAACAATATTTTTCAATGGTGAACTGGATGTTGTAGGTGATGAAGGGATCAAGAATATGGTGTGATTTTCAACTCGAGCTAAAAATGGAGGTGCCATTGATGGAGATGATGAAGACAAAACAAAAACAAGTTTATATGGTATTGGAAAATGAAAGTCGCTCAGTCGTGTCCGACTCTTTGTGACCCCATGGACTATATAGTCCATGCAATTCTCCAAGCCAAAATACTGGAGTGAGTAGCCTTTCCCTTCTCCAGGGGATCTTCCCAACCCAGGCATTGAACCCAAGTCTCCTTCATTGCAGGGGAATTCTTTACCAGCTGAGCTATCATGGAGGAGATTAAAATCTGTTTTGGAGAGAGTGAGTTTAACATGCCATTTAGGCATCTGTGTGGAGATAGCATCAGGAGGATAAATGAATATGATCTGGAGATCAGAGAAGGGCAGGCGGGGGTCATAATATTGAGGATCAACCTGTAGCTAATAATCCGTGGGATTGTATAAAACGGGAGGGGAAAAAAAGTCCTCCCACACTGAGAGGGCTGGCTGAGGAAAAGGGATCAGCATAGGAGAATGACATGAAGCCGCCAGTATGTAGGAAAAATGAGGGAATGTATGTTGTGGAAGTTGAGAGTATTTTAATGAGGGAGAATCAGAATCACCTGTACCGGAGGTTCAATAAAATCAGTGTCAGCTGGCCCAAAGAAGCAGTGCGAGGTGAAGTGCTCCGTAAGCTGGAAGACCACGAAACACCCTTTCAAGCTCCTCTGCAAGACTGTGTAAGCCTAGGACTGTAAAGGTGGAGAGAGCACGGCGAGAAAGGATCATAAAGGGGAAGGGCTGGCTCTTTTATGTATCAAAAGAGAAAACGCCTAACAGTGCAATTAGCAAACCACCCCGTTCTGGGCTGAGGTCGTCATTATTAGTGAGTCGGAGACTGGACTGAGACCGCCAAGTGGGAGAAAGCTGATAAGATGAACAGAGAGTTCTGGAGGAGGAAATGTCATGATAAAGAAAATCCATTCCTCCAGACAGCTTGCGTTAAAACCAGGCTTTGGGTTAGGCGGGGAGACCAGGGAGCAGTGTTGCGCTTCTCTTGGAACTGACCCCGCGGCGGCAGCAGTGAGCAGAAGACCTGCGGATGCAAAAGCTGCACAAAGCCGAGAGGGAGGAAGTCCGGTCACAGATGTGAGCAGTTCCTCTGCCTCCGCCCCCCTCCTTCATCAGCCAATCAACATCCAGCTGAAGACCCGAGGCGCTGGGGCGGGGAGGAGGGCGGAGCCTGAGGACCGTTAATCCACCGCCAAGCCTGTCCAGCTTTCCTCTGCCCAAGGACTCACTGTTAACCTGGTGGGCAGACAACCACTTTGGGAAAAGCTCTTGCGGTTTCATATAAGACTAAATGTAAACTCCAAGACTCAGCAATTTTTCCTTTAGGTATTTTTCCAAGAGAAAATAAAGCATAAATACCACAAAATCCAGATATTTATTCATCAACAGGAAAATGGATAAACTGTAGTATATCCATACAATGCAACACAACTCAGCATTAAAAAGGATCCAACTACTGATACACTCAGCAACATGGATGAACCTCAAAATGATGGTGAGTGAAAGAAGCCAGTACACACAAGAACACATATTGTATATTCTGTGCATTTCATTATATGTAAAGTTTACATTAAAAAGGTAAGCATAAACTCTAGCTAATTCTATGCATGTTGTAGTGTTTAGACGTGAAATATACTGTTGTCTGCAACTTTGAACTGCATCACAAAAGATGGATTGATGAATGCGGGGATGGATAGATGTGTTAAATACTTCCCTGTAAGGAATCTGCCCGCAATGCAAGAGACCTTGGTTCTATCCCTGGGTTGCAAAGATCGCCTGGAAAAGGGAATGGCAACCCATTCCAGTATTCTTACCTGGACAATTCCATGGACAGAGGAGCCTGGCAGGCTATAGTCCATGGGGTTGCAGAGTCAGGCACGACTGAGCGACTAATACACAAAACAAATACAGCAAAATATTAATTGCAGAATCTTGATGGTAGGTATATGGTGTTCACTGTAAAAGTCTTTCAATCTTTCTGTACATGTTGTAATATATTTTTAGAATAAAATATTTGGGCTACCAGAGGCTGAGAACAGAGGAATGGGAGTTACTGTCTCAGTTCAGTTCAGTTCAGTCGCTCAGTCGTGTCCGACTCTTTGCGACCCCATGAACCGCAGCACGCCAGGCCTCCCTGTCCATCACCAACTCCCGGAGTCCACCCAAACTCATGTCCATCAAGTTGATGATGCCATCCAACCATCTCATCCTCTGTCGTCCCCTTCTCCTCCTGCCCTCAATCTTTCCCAGCATCAGGGTCTTTTCAAATGAGTCAG